CTGTGCCCAAAGCTGGGACAATGCTCAGCCCACCTTCCGGAAGCAGGCCTTCCTGGGGCACAGGAACAGCTGAGTCTAGTTGCTCCCAGTCCCCAGGCAGCCTGGGGATGCCTCAAAGAAGATGCCCAGGCTGGACTGGCCCTCAACACCAGGCCCTGCAAGGAGCCCCGGCCTTGGGAACCAGGCGCAGGGAGTCCTAGGTCATCTGCTCACGAGGAAACACTATCCAGGCCTCCCCTGGCCCATCTGCCCAGCTCTCTGCCCCTTGACCTCTGCCACCTCAGCGGGCGCGCAGACCATGCAAGCAGCAGGTGCAAGACGCGGGGGTGGCACTGAGATGACACAAAACCACACTCGCCCCCACCTCCTAAACCTTGCTGGCCTCCGCCACAGCCCTCCTGCCACCCCAGGCTGGCGCTTCCGTTGGGATACAGAGATAGAAGGGGGGGGGGCAGCTAGCTGCCTGTCTCCCTCAGACTGAGGGGTGGGAGGTGGCGCCGGGAATGTCCTTCCTCGCTCGTCCACGGACGCGAGGGAACCGGGGCCCCCCAGCTGGCCCTCCCGCCAAGGACGCGGCTCCGCAGTGGCCCGGGCGGGGGCCGAGGCCGAAGGCCGCAGCCCCCAGCCCCGCCCCGCCCTCCGGCCCCGCACGGCGCTCCCGCCAGGCCCCGGCGCCCGCCCGGCGGCCTCGCTGCGCGGTCCCGCCCCCGGCCCGGCCCCGCTTACCCGGGGCGCTGCAGTCCGCACACACCTCCGCCCGCGGCCCCTTCCGGGACATCCTCAGCGGCGACGCGGCCGCAGCCCTCTGGGCCAGCGTGGGGGGCGCGGGCGGCGGGCCCGGGCGGCGGCGGCGGCCCCTGCTGCCCGGCCCGGCTCCGGCAAGGCCCCGGCTAGGCTCCGCGCGCCCGGCCAACCGTCCGCCCCCGGGGCTGGCCCGGAACCCGCCGTGCCCGCCTGCCCGCTGGCCCTCCGGCGCCCTCCGCCCCGCACCGCCCCGCGCCGCCCTGCCGCCGCTCGCCGCTCGTTTTCTCCGCCCCCTGCGCGGCTCCGGGCCGCTCCTGCAGGAAGCGGCGCAGGCCCTGCCCACCGGGGGAGGGGCAGCCTGCACACCCGCCCCGCCGCCCGGCCCTGCGGGCCGCGCCTCCCGGAGAAAGGAAGCCGGGAGCGCGGGCGGGAGGGGCGGGGGTGTTTAAAGGGGCCGCGGCCGCCGCTAGGCAGGCCCGAGAGGGCGGCGTCGCCTGTGGCCCTGGCCTCTACTCCCGCGCTCCTCGGCCCGGTGGCAGTGTGAGTTACCCTCACAGCCCCATCCCCTTCGCTTTCCAGGTGGAGGGTGGCCCAGGGGCCTCAGGCCCGGGGACAGTGACCCTTGGGGAACAGGGAAGAGGGTAAGGAGCTGGAGGCCCAGGCCCCCTTCCTCGTCAAACGGCTGTGGTTTGGGGTACCCGCCTATGTCTGGCTGAGGTGAGGTGAGCGACCTGGCCCCCCGTGCATCCACATCTGTGTGTCCAGGTGTGCGTGTGGTGACACCCTTGCTGATTACGCACAACGCCAACAATATGGACGCCCAGGTGTTCCCCTGCCTCCCAGCTAAAAATACATCTATACCTCATCCATGCTTCCATCCCGAGAGGAAAGAATCTGGGCAGTTTTTAAAGACCTCCCGAGGAGTGACCCCTGTGGCCTGTGTGCAGTAATATCCACTCTGCATTCGTCTTGTATACCTCCACGGTTTTTCTGGGCCACCGCAGGTTTGTGTGTCCAGGGCGTGTGCATAGAACATACAGGGACCTTTTCTTATGGTGGCCTTTCTTCCTAGACTTCACACGGAGACGGCGTAGGTGGGGGACAGGAAGCGGAGGCGCAGGCCGCACGTGGGTGCACCCCTGCACTGAGCATGCTCCCCCATACACGTGTGCCCCGCGTGCACCCAGCCCCCATCCCTGCAGCAGCAAAATGCCAAGAGCACTTTGCTTGTGGGGAAAAGGCAGGGGTGGCCAGGACCAGGCCTGGGGGCTAGGTCAGTGGTGACAGAATCAAGGGAAGACTCCCAAGGGGCAGGGAGTCCTCAGTAACCAGGGGGTAAGGAGGGGAGTCCTTGGGCAGGGGTTTGGGATTTGGTCGATTTTATCCCAGCGGTGCCAGAGCAGCAGTGACTTGTGGGTGGGCAGGCTGCTTCCCTGGGGGAGACAAGGAATGCTCATGAGTCACACCACCCGAAATACAAGCAAAGCTGCCTCCATCGCCTTTTGCTGCAGCCCAGATTGACAAGTTTGTTTGAAATCGCGATCCACGGGGTATATTTATAATCGCACCTTTAAGAGAAATCTTTTTGCAGGCCTCCCCTCCCCCTACTGCCAGCCGCTCAGCTGGCGGGGCTTCTGAGAGCTAAGATACCTCGCGGTGGGGGTGGGGGGCGGCGGCGGCGGCGGCGGCGGGAGCACAGTGCTGCACCCGCACCAAGGAGTCAGTCCGTGGGCTTCGTGGCCCCAGGCTGGGCGACGGAAAGGAGCGGCCTGGCCGCTCTCACTGGCGCACAGCCCACGATGGGTGGCCGCCGGTTCACCCCCGACCGACCCCCAGCTATGGAATTTCATTTATTAAATGTCGAGGCGGCTACTGGCAGCCCCATCGCTTGGCTGTCTTTGTTTCTCCGCTGTGTGGGCGCGTCTCGAGCACGTGGCAGCTGGAGCGCGCAGACCGGAGGAAAAGCGACCTGGGTTTGGTCTAAGGCCGCGTGGCAAAGAAACCCGGCTGCTAAGGGTCTAGGTCCCCCAGTCCAGGCTGAGCTCCCCCTCTCCCAGAGCTTCAACACTTTTCAGGAGGATGATTCATGTTGCTCCCCTCCTGCCCGCCAGCTCCCCCTCCCGGCTGGCCCGGGGACTACCTGGGAGTGGCCCAGGCGAAGAGCCACACTCTCCAAACTTTGTTCCGGAAGCCCCCGGCCCCGCCACGGCAGAGCTTCGGGGCCTGGGACTAGGAATAAAAGGACTTCAGGATTTCCCTTTGGAGATGTCGCCACCTCAGGAAGCGGGACGGTAAAAGAGAAATCTCAGACCAGGTTCTAAAAACAATTTAATGAGGAAATGTACAGGCATTCTCCCGGCCACTCCTGGCTGTCCCTCCCCCGCTCCAGCCCCCTCCCCAACTCTGGCTGCAGCCACAACACTCTGCTGACCCCTCGTGGTAGAGGTGGGCAGCGGTCCCCGGTTGCGGGAGACGCCAGCAGGCTCCTCCCTGGCTGGAGAAAGGGGCGAGGCAGTCCACTCCTCCCTTATCCTTTCCCGCCTGGGCCTGGCACCGCAGGGTGTGGAGGAGGAAGGAGAGAAGACCACACAAAGAAACCTGAGAGAGGCGCGGAGAGTTTGCAAGCTTTTGCTAGCACCTCCCACACAAACACTTTTTGGATTGTTCTAAGTAGGGCTGGTATGGAATCCCTAATTCCTGTCCTGTTCTAGGGTGGATTCGAGAAGGCACTGGGCCCGGGCCCGGTCCCGGTCCCGCCACCTGTCCCAGTCCGCCTGGGTTGCAGGCGGGATGTGCCGTTTCCCAGGGCAGTTACTATCCTTAACTCACCCCAGTAGGTAGTATTTAGAGTCTCATTTAGAGGTGAGTGGTCTGAGAAAGCAGAAAATTTAAGCAATTTGCTTACGGTCAAGCGGTTAGTAAAGAGGAATTCGAACTCTGGTTTAAGATCCCAATCCCTCCTCCCTCCAGGGACTGGGCCACGCCTCTAGGTCACTCCAGCCCTTGCAGTAGGCAGCCCCAGAGGTCAATTACACTTTTTACCACAGCGTTTGCTGGGCCCCTTCTGGAAGGACCTCTCTGCCCTGGGGTTATTCAGGAAGGACGCAGCCTCGGAATCAGTCACTTCCTCTCCTAAGGGGACCACACTGAGTGGAGGTGGGAAGCCGCCACCTGCTGCTTACTCTGCCCAGCCCCACTCTGGTCCTTGCGGCGGACAGCAAATGGGGGGGGGGGAACTGCCCTTCCAGCCTTAGTGGTCATTCCCTTTGAATGTCAAGTGTGGAAGGTGGAATTTAATTTGCTAAAGAAGGCAGGGACGACTCCTACATAATAGTTCCACGTGCCCGATCGCTGGTTGCTCCAACGACCTCTGGTACTATTGTCCCGCACCTTTCTCAGGAGTTCCCCCCCCAATCAGTCACTCTTCTTGGAATCTGGATCCCTCCTCACGTTCCACAGGACCCAAACTCAGTCCTGAAGGCCACAGCTTCCCGCGCCCTCTAAGGCTTGAGCAAGGCCTGTAGCCCCTTCCCTCCCCCCAAAAAGGCAAAACGCCCGTGGGTGGGGGTGCGCCCCGGCCCACCCGGCGTCAGGACACGGTCTCCGTTCCCGCCAGCCCTGGCTCCCTCCCCACCCGCTCACGGGAGCAAGGGGGACAGTGCGGGACCCTCTCCGGCCCCCCGCCACCCGCAGTTCCACGAGGCGGACTACATGCCCCATGATGCCACGGGGCCGAGCTACCACAAGCTCTGCCCCGGGCACCCGGGTCCCCCTCCTCTCTCCCCCGCATCCCCGCATCTCTCGCCGGCCGCTCGGGCTGAGGGCCGGGCAATGCAGCTGCGGGGAGCCGGGGGCGGCGGGCGCGCGTCCCTGCGGCGGCGTCGCCGGGGTTCGCGCCCCGTGCGCCCCCGCGCCGGCTGCGGGCGCCTGCTCCCTCAGCCGAGCGGCGTCTTTGTGTGCGGGGGTGTGGGAGGTGAGGCGCGAGTCCGCGCCGCGGCGCCGAGCGCCCGCTCCCTCCCCGGGCGGGTGGGGGCCTCTCCGCGCCGCCCGCCACCGCCTCGCGAGGACGCCCGCGGCCCGCGCCGC